ACTATATATATATATATATATATATATATATATAATTCAGCATTGTACAAATTGACATATTCATGAGTAACATTGCAATACTATAAGGACGTTAATTAGCAAGTATCATGCAATTTAAATTAAGAACTAGCACAAGCAACAACGCATATAAAAGGTTAAGATGTAGTAAAGTCAGTTGAGTCAAAAGTAGTTTCGTCAATCATTAAACGTGCATTGATACATGGCATGGCCTGAAAATTTGTATCCAACCTCATCAAAACGTAAGAGAGGATATGGAAAGTTGGAGGTACCTTCCCCTTTTGATTACTCCCAGGATAAAGGTAAAGGCAGAACATATTTCTTTGATCAATATCATTCATGGAAGGAGAGTTCAGAAGTATACTTCCATATATATAACTTGTGAAAACCTGCGCAGTTTAAAATTTCTTATAAATATAATGTTCAGCCTAATAACTAGATATTCATTAAAAAATAATAATAACAAAACATTTCAATTAATAATTTCAGTAAATGCGCTGGTCATCTGGTAAATGAATTTTTCATGAAATATTGATGCAATATTCAAAGTCTACCGTCAATGGAAACACAAAACATTTGCATTACATAGATACTTTTGAACTTTGAAAAGAAATCAATTAATTCGGTCAGAAGTAGTATTTGCATGCCTATAATGAACATAATTAATAGAACCTGCATGTTACTCCTAACATAATCTACCTAAGTTGATTCTCTATGGTGCTACCACCAAAGAAAAAATAGTGCTGATAGTAATGTTTTGGTTTTTCTGGTCTTATTTCTATGGTATGTATTCCTACCGCTTCTGTTTCAGTGGACCTTCTACCCTTCAAGGGTCTATATTTCTGCAGTTTTAATGCCAGAGAGTACTGTAAAGTCTATCAACGGAAATACAAATATTTGCATTACATCAATCATTTTGAAATTTGAATTCTGAAACGTACTCAACTAATTAAGTATTTGTTTTCACATGCCTAAAACGATCATTATTTCTGAGATGGGTTTGGAACCAGCATTCTATTACAAAAATTTTACCTGGGCTGGTTCTCTGACACTAACACCACAAAAAGAAATTGGGCTTACAAAGATGTTGTGGTGTTTCTATTCCTAACCCTATGGCTTCTATTTCAAAGGGGCTTCTATTTACAATGAATTGAACCCTACGACTGCGGTGCGGTGGCTCCTATTCTATTTGGATGTGGTACTGGCCTTCTATTGTTCTGCTAAGATGTTCATCCAAAATACATTATCACAATGCATATTCCACAAGGCTTATGAATAAATGTATTCTAATACATGTAAAGAACAGACAATAGAATAAATACAAATTTCTTTTGAAGGTGTAAATGTTTCTTTTTCTACTCTGGGATTTTAACCTTTGATCAAACTTGAGACTTAAGCTTTCTAGGAGAGGTGATCACTGTTTACCGTAAATATGGAACCAAAAAAAATAAAGAAAGGAAGAAAAAGAAATATTCAAACTCTGCTTACTTCCACCCAGGGCCCAATAACTGTTCCCACGTCCTTCTCTCCAGTACACGTATACACACGAAACAAAAACTGCAATCCTTTCCTTCGTCTTCCCTGTTCGAACAAATAAGAAGCCCTCGCCTCCATGCCTCGCGCGCGACCACAAAGCCGAAGTTCCTCGCCTCCATGCCTCGCGCGCGACCTCAAAGCCGAAGTCCCTCGCCATCGATTTCTTCCTCCCTACAATCGCCAAAGTTAGTTTTCCTCTGTTCGCAAAAGCCGATGGTCTTCCTCTATTCGCAAAACCGAAAGCCGTAAACAGCCATTCCCCTCGGAAGCCCGCTCGAGCCTTCCTTTTCATGATTGTGAGCTAAGCAATAAAGTCGCGACTAGGGCTACTGAGGAAAGCAACGACTTGTAGCGTGCGAAGTCCTCCAAAACTCTTTATCTTCTCTTCTTCTGCTCCATCTCCACTGCAGGATGACAGGACTCCCCTGTTCGCAAGCCTTGCCCCACGATCCTCCAAGGCCCACCATCTTTCCCCTGTCCGAGCAATACTTTCGTAACTAGAGTTTGCGGGAAGCAATGAATGAAAATCTTATATACTTACACTGGAGCTGCATTAATTAGAAACCAAAATCACATCTCAGAGGATAGCACTGATTCTAGGAATCCCACAAAATATTGGAAAACGAAGTACAACAAAAAAATTCCAAAAAGCACAACAAAATTTAACGGAAAAAAGATTCGAGAAAGAAAATTAGGGAATACTCAGATCTCTTCTCTACAATCCATAGTACTTACAGGACTTTGCTCGAAACTCTTCCTCTTGATCTTACAAGAAAAAAAAATATGATGAAATCATACTCTATGATACTTCTCCTTCAAGAGACCTTTTTCAAAAAAACCTCACGCAAAAGAGTCACTTCGCCACTCGAAATCACAAATTTTAAAATTATTCCTGGACTAACCGTCGGACGGCATGGTCACACCACATATGTGCATAATTATTTTACCTGCTCGGGACAAACCTATGTTGACCGACCTTTGGTGGCGTGGGCACGTCCATATGTGTAGTTACGCCGACTGATGTAGCCATGCCCATTACAGGCATGGCTACACCAAACCCATGCACAGGATTTCATTCCCTTTGATACTGCAACGACTATGAGTGCTTCTTCGGCAGTGGGTACTCAGGCCCACAAAATAATAATCTCCCACTTGGAGAATGATAGCACCTAACACCTACTCTCCAGATCTACATCTCCATTTGTATCATCTTCATAGCCACATACCGTGATGTGGCTCGACCCCAGTCTCAATCTTCATGAACTCCAACTGAAGTTATACATAGCTCAAGTTTCTCGATAGTCGCCACCTTCATCATCATGTCGCCAGGATTTTAAGTTGTGTGAATTTTCTCAAAGAACAATTGCCCATCTTCTAGGAGAGAGCACATAAAGAAACATCTCAGTTGAATGTGCTTTGTCCTAGCATGAAAAGCAATATTATTAGCAAAAATTGCACTCATATTGTCACTATGAAGCTTTTCAATCTCCTGTTCCTTGTCTAATTCTACCATAAGGCTCTGTAGCCCGATCATCTCATTTTTAGCCTCAATGAACGACCTCTATTGTTGAAAGTGCAACAATCTTCTACAATCTGGAATCCCAACTCACTGCTATATTCCCCAAAGTGAAAATATACCATATTGTACTTCTCCTACCACCCAAGTTTCCTATCGGATCTGAATCTATATAAATCCTTGTAGATTGATCCCTGCACTTCCTAAGAAAAATGTCATGTTAACTATTCCCCTCAAAAACCTAAAAATCCACTTCATCGTCTCTCAATGATGTCTGCCGTCTCTCAATGATGTCTGCCTAGATTGCTTCTATACTTGCTAACCACTCTCACTGCAAATGCAATATCTAACCTCGTATAAATCATAACATACATTAGACTTTCAACTATGAAGCATACGGAGTTCTCCCCATCTGTGCTTGCTTTGCTACAAACTTAGGTTATAGCTCATTAGATAGCTTGAAGTGACTACCTAAAAAGGTGCAAATTGGTTTTATCTCAACATACTCTTCCTGAGACAACTACAGTGTATCTGCACTCCTGTCCTTGTTGATTCTCACCCTAAGAAATTTTTGGTTGGACCTAAATTCTTCATCTCCTAATTTTCTCCATATTTGCCCCTGCAAAAAAAGAGCAAGACATTACAATTATTGAAGTACTTGATAAAAGCAACACTGGTTTGTCTGGCATTTTATGTACTCTTTTCTGACATGAATATGTCAAACCTGTTGTACACTGTCTCAGGGTCTGCTTCAAGCCATGGAAGCTCTTTTTCAACCTGCAGACCAAATTTTCTTTCCCTGGAATCTTGTAATCTTGCAATTGCACCATGTATAATTCCTCCCCATATCTCCATGTAAGAAAGCTATTTTTAGATCTATCTACTCCAGATTTAAATCTCCATCTGCTACCAGACTCAACACAACCCTGATGGTTGTCATCTTCACCACTAGAGAAAATTTTTCTGTGTAGTCACTCCTTCATTCTACTAGAACCCCATCACAACAAATCTTGCTTTGTAGCATTTGAAAATATAATATGATTCGGAAAAAAACAAATGATGTGGCAGGTGCGTTAAGCAGAAAGAGCGATGGTATTACTAACTGGGTATTTACACAAAAAAAACAAATTAATGATATGGAGTGTTTGCAGTTATCAGTAGTGACACCAAATAATTAAAGTATCACATTATTGAATCAGATGTTAAAACATCCAACTCTGAAGGATAGAATAAGAGATGCATTGCCACATGATGTAGAGTTATAGAAAATATTAGACTGGATGAATGCAGATATAAAATTGTCCTTGAGGTTGTACCGAGGAGGAAAATAGGAGCCATATCACTATCGAATATCATGTAGTCTAGGAAGTGCCGCAAACACTACACAAGCCTCAATTTTGACTCCCCTGTGAATTATCAAGACCATCCTAAATGGTTTGAGCTAACACAGGCTAATATCTATCTTTTTGCGTCGGTGTCTTCCTCAGTTTCCTCATATAGCGGGTCGAGTCATGACCTGGCCTAATAGCTTAAAGTTAACTAAGGAAACGTGATCATATAATATTAACCTTTCATTTATATTCCACAGAATTTCAGAACTCCCAACTTATAAAAGAGCAGCAAAGAAACCTCCAAATACACTAGAAGAAAATATAAATCATCTCAAAATAACAACATAGTCTACAAGTAAAATGTAATAACTAAATTTAAACAAACAAATAAATAAATATAACAATAATATTAATAATGATAATTTGAATAGACACTAAGAATAAGCATTCCTTCAGATACGACCTAAGAGTATTATTCCCTCTTTCAAACCAACATAACCGAGATGCGAGAGGCAAAACTGCAGAGGGTGAAGGAAGAGAAGAAGAGAAAGAAAAAGAGAAGGAAGGAAGTCACCGTCTGCATGCGTAGGAGAAGATGTCAAGCCCTAGCCGATCGATCAAGGAGGATGGAAGGTTGAGCGGCTTCAACGCTATACTCGCATGCTCATTGTGTTCTGGCGTACCAAACCCTAGTGAAGAAGCTTGTTTTGATTATTATTACAAGATGAATATCAAAGGATCATAATTGATTCCATTAAATTAACTGATTTTGCAAAAGACTTCTGATATTTATTTTAAAAACTCTTAAAATATGTATCTTTATATGGAATGAAATGGTATTACAACAATTAGTCAAATTCATATTTAAGAGACTTGTATTACAAGCTAAAAAAACCTAGACTAGAAAATCAATTTTCTGTTGTAGATTATGATAAATGCCCTAGCTACACTTTCAATGTCAATTTGGTAAAATATTCGAAGAATCATGAATAGTTGTAAAAATTCTTATCAATGAACTCAAATAAAAAATAAAGTAAATCTTCACAATCTTCAAACAAGAAGATGATTTACCATGATAGTTGTTATGATTGTCATATCTCATACTTGGAAAGATATTCTATCATTTCAAAATTCTAAGAAGAACAAAAATGTTTATATTGACATGCCTGCAGCCATTGTTTTTAAATATACTTAAAGGCTTGCATCATTACATAGGGATTCTTTAAAACCTCTTCCTGAATGTACAACAGAATCCGTTCATAATAGTGAAGATGATGATCATCATTATGATGATGAAGAATTAGGTTTAGATAAGTGCATAATGAAATTACGTTAATTACAACTTGACATGGAAACCTACACATGTGCATATTGGTTTTTTATATAATATTGCACCTACAATATATATATGTTCGAACTGACATAAATCTGGCTGAAGGTGAAATCTTGATTGTTTATAATAATGATGTTTTTATCAGGATATTATAGTTCATGATTATTATCAAGAACATGACAATTTATGATTTGATTTGATCCATACTCCTTATGTTGATTCATGTTTGACTGTTTGTAATGATAAACTCTACAAACTCTACATTGCCCTTAAATACAATTACCCACAAGATTATCACATATTACAATTCTAATACACACCTTATGGATATAATGTCATATATACTCATTGATTAAATTAATAATTCAGTTTTCATAAGTAAGCTTAGATTGCATATCAGAGTTCTCTCATACTATTTGTAGGTATTTTAGTAACTTATGCGCTAATAACAAATGCTCTAAAACTATGTTCACCCTTGAAAATGAGAACAACTACATTTATTCTAGTGTTCCTAAATCCACAAGATCCTCCACCAGCGCTCAAAAAACTTCAAGATTCTCAAGTCGTGCATGATTTAGTTCCACCGCTGCCACCAAGATGGCATCTAACTGGAACACTTCAGAAGGGGGTATTTGCAAGCCAGAATAATAATGCAGTATGATTCATACTAATTTTGCGAAGATAAAATCAATTTTCATAGGCCAACCAGAAGAATCAAATCGGGCTACAAATAAACTAAAATGAACAAATGTTTGGATTTCTTTAGGCATATTTTTATTTTTGGCCAAATTTTGTATTAAAATTTTTCTTTCAAATGCAATAAAGAAAAAGATAATCCCATCTTTATTCCATGCAAATGGGACAGGAATAATTTCATTTTATCAAATGGATTTATTTTCTTTGTCAATGAGTCTGATTGTCTTAATGTTTGAATGAAACTGGTTGCTCTTTTCCATTCATCGAAGACCGTTTGCTCCAAGTTGTGTAGGTTGGTCACTCCAAGCAATGCACATGGAGTTCTTTTTCACATCTTCAAGTGTGTGGAGATTACTTTTGCATTCTCTCATCTATTCTTTCAGTTCTTATCGCATTTGCTAAAATTAACCTCTATGTTTTCCACTATACATCCTTCTACATCAAGTAATAAATGAAAATATTAAATGTATTCTCAGTAGATTTGATTGGATCAAAAACTTTGGGGTGTGGATCAAATGTTGAACACATTATTTTCTAGTTAGAAAATTACAAACATAACCATAATGAAGCACAGAGCATGAAAATATTCTTTTCTCACTTTGAGCATGAAATTAGATTTGAATTCAGTCCATTGCTAGTTAAATCAAGAAATTAATGTTCACGAAGTCAAGGAACATACACTATAAGAAAATTCAAAATCTTTAGTTGACCAGTTATCTACATCTGCCTCATAACAGAATGAGAATCTCCCAGCATGCCAACCCTTTTCCTAGAAATTGACGAAACAATAATCACATTAAAATAAAGGTGTTTGGCATATGCATGTGAACAAAATGCAGAAGAATTCACCTTTAAAGAATGGGTTGATTTCTGGATAATGACATCCTTTTCAGTGCCAGGATTCACGTTTAACAGTATCTTCTCTTTTTCAACTATTCCAGTAAAAGGAGTGACATTTTCGGGAAATGTAAAAGGTATTCTAATTGATAAATGGCCATCCCTGTACAGTGATTTTTGAGACCAGCTGACAACAAGAGATATATCACATCCACCATCAACCTTCAAAGCAAAGAGTTCAAATTGGACTAGGGTTAAGTTAAAATATCAGAAAACGAACTATTGCAACTGCAAGGAAGTAACCAACTAACCTGAGGGATCGTCAGTGAAAAAAAGCAAGGTTTCAAGAAGTATCTATCTTCATTCTTCAGTTTTTTCTCATTGTTCTGATCATCTTCTCTATGAACCACCTGAGTAGAACATGATTTACCGGAAAATTTTACCTCAGCACCAAGAATTGAACCCTGTTAGGCAAACGAAGGACAGCCTGAGAAAAACTAATGAGCTCTCTGCAGTTTATAAACTAAAGTACTCAAACCGGAGAAAAACTTTGAAAGAAAATAAGTTCTGAAGCATTATAGGCTATAAATATATTGAAGCTAAAATGCCAAAAATTCACAGAACAAACACAGATATTTTTAAATGCAATTTAAATGTCAGAACAATGAGAAATTAATTAGCAAGGCGGGATTTTCATCAAATAGTATTCTAGTAACAAAAAGCCTCTAATAACTAAAAAAGATAAAGACAGAATATGAATTAAACATTTTAGACGTTAGTTTTAACAATAGAATTGAATTTGGTTCACCGACATTTGTACTATTTTTATAAAAATTTGTTCATCATTTGATTCATTGGCACATTTAAACAAATATTTTAAAAATATCAATTGATTATTGCTTCAGAGCTATTTAGATGTCAGCATAATTAGACATCCAATGGTTGGATATGTTGATAAATATGTAACATACCTGCATATATACATGATACTACATACCCTCCCTCATGTCTTTGCTTTCTCCTAACCCTCGCCTATTTCTTCTTCGCATAGAATAATCACAGTCAAGGAACTCCTCATGCACCACACATCAAAGATCCTCTAGCCACCTTCCCAATTCAACATTTTTAAGGAGAATCTCCAATGCCTCCAAACCCTTCCTCATTCCTCATACGTCAACAAGAAAAACAGGTCTCCCTAAGTCACATGGAATTTAAAATTTTCTATATTCAAAAGAAATAAAAAGGTAATCCCTGCGACCCTTTCAGCCTTATCATTTAAAATAGTCACGTATTTTCTATATTCATATCTTTAGAGAAAAAAGAAAGTAAGAGAAGAAATTCGCTTCTTTTCTCAATAAAATTTGACATTAACCTAGCAATATTTCAGCCTCAATCACCTTTTTTCTTGATTTATGGTAGGAGTAAAACGCAAGTGTAATTGGAATTTCTTTTTTACTTTTCTTTTTTTAATTCTCAGTCAATTTAAGAATCCACTGCATTCGTTCTCATAGCCTGACCAATCCATCAAGTTTGGAAAAAATGCACTTCAAGAACTGTAACTTCTGCAATCACAACTCCAAAATTCCATCTTCAAGGCATGGGTAATTAACAAATAGTTGTTGTTGAGTGGTAAAATATTTACTAACTGAGTTAGGTTTCCTAGATATTTAACTTTTTGTGGCATGGCATATGATAGTTGAGCTTTTTGTGCTCTTTTTATTTTGTTTAGCTTAGGACTACAAATCATACTACCATTTAATAGTTTAACTATGCTTGGAAATAAAATCAACAACATTATATTTGAATTTTTGTAGCGTTTCAAATGATACTCAGGTTTGTTGTATTCAACAACATTATCATGGTTAGCCTTCTCTAAACTGTTTGGATTATCATTATGAATCCTACATCTTTATTAATTCAAGATGAGTATGACACAAGGTTTAAGCCCCATTATGGGGAAATCTTCATTCACAACATAACTTTCTTATTGCGGCGACCAACTATAAATCTCAATAAACTCCATACACCAGCACTCAGCACCAGCACTCAGCACAGTAAACTTTAATTCAATAAGCAACATCGCCCTGCCCTGTCATATGCCTTTCCGAATCTCGAAGTGAAGTGAAAAATTCAAAAAAAGAAGCTCAAAATTGCGAGCAATCCAATTAGGAATTTAAACATTTCCGCCCAGACAACTAAGAGTTCAAGCTTAATTACCTGCTCTCCAAGGGGAACCACGAGACGGCAATCGCACCTGCAGCTACCCATGACACAGTGAACCCGCCACCGCCCACGCACAGTGATCAAGGCCGTGTCAAGATAGCAGTCAATCGTCACAGCAATCTCCTTCATTTGGAGTGGGATCAGCGCCGGCGGATCACACCGACCGTAGACATGCGGCTGGTAGCTCGGTATGTCCGGATTGTCCACGATAGCCGGATCGACGATCACCGCATACATCATCGGAGCCATCGGGACGAGAGAAGCTCTCGACCCATCCATCTCATCGGGTTGCCTCGGGGGTACGGTCGGGATCCGGCCCTTGCCGGCGCACACTCGCTTCGCCAACCTCAGGCCTTCCTCGACCGACATTGTGAACTCCTCCATATGAACGGAGCAATGTCTCAGAGCTCACCCGCCTGTCCGGGGATTGGCAAGTTGCGAGACTGCAACAGAGGAAAGCAGAGGAGATGGGGAGAAGGGTATCAGAACCGCAAATTCGACGAAAGCAAATGTTATAAAATGATATGAAGACTCCACGTGGACAGCGAAATTTCTAAAATATTAAGTAAAATGAAAGACTAAGAATAAAAATAAATTCATTTTACCGTATTATTTCAGATGTGTATTATTTCATATTATTCAAATATTATTGTGATAATATTTATATATTATTGTATTATGAGAATATTTTTAATATTATAATAACACAATAATATATTAATATCGCTACAATAATATTGAATAATATAGAATAATATAAAAAAAATATTTCATATTATCGAATCGGATCACAAGAAAATTATTGTGATAATATTTATATATTATTGTATTATGAGTATATTTTTAATATTATAATAACATAATAATATATTAATATCGCTACAATAATACTGAATAATATAGAATAATATGAAAAAAATATTTCGTGTTATCGAATCGGATCACAAGAAAATAAATTTTTTTTTCCTATAACTCTTATATTAAGATATTCATTTGGACTTTGAACATATCTCACCTAACACTATTTCGAGCACCTGAATCAGCTACAGGATGCGGTTAAATGAATCTAATGGAAAGACGTATGAACGTTCGTCGATTTGGAGATTCGTGCTCAAAAAAAAGATGGACGGTGTTCATCTCTCTCTGTATCTTTGCGTGGGGCCCACCATCGAATGAAAAACAATTGAGCACGTGGCTGTAGTAACCAAAGGACGAAATTGGGTTGGGCATTGATTGTTCGTCGAGAGCGGTGAAGCTGGATGCGGACATCGCGATTCGTGCGAAGATTAATCGACGGTGATTCGCGAGTCGAATGGTTGCGGGTCGAAATCCCATGCTGCCATAGCGGCGGCGTTCGTGAGCAAGGCGAAAATGGGATGAATGATTATTCGACACGTGGCACAATGGCGTCAGCTTTGATTGGGGAGGTTCTTTTTTGAATTTGGGGGATCCCGATTTAGTGCGTATTTATTTAGCTTGTGGATGGATCCACGTGGAGAACGTGTACGTCATCCAGGCTGGTGTATTTTTGACCCTTCTGAAATAATTGAGAAAAGGACGGGTTGTTCGTGTAAAATAAATTGATGAAAGCTGAATTTGATTTATAAGATGAGTGGAATCTTTTGATTAGAAGATATGGTACAGTTTATATATATATATATATATATATATATATATATATATATATATATATTAAAAAATAAATATTTGATAGAGGCTCAAATACCGATTTCCTATGTGTTTATGGACTCCATGATAAGATCTCGCGTCATGTGTCTAATATTTGAGAACCCCGCGCCACGAGGGCTTAAACCCGTGACCTGAAGAGACTTACAGCAAACCCCGCCAACCAACAAGCCACGGCTTGCGGCAGTACTGTTTATATATATATTGATGCGTGCTAGAAATTTCGAGACAATAGAGTAGCAGATATTGATTGATTATGATACGAAGATTTAACACATAGTCATAAAAAAAAAGAAAAAAATTAATAATGACACCAAAAATTTTCTAGTAAAATAGCAGGAATGGGAAAAATCACGGAAACTCAAGCTGAAGAGTTCCACTATAAAAAGATAATTACAGTTGCAATCACTTGTCTCATAGGTGGGAAATGGTTAATAAGTTTTTCAAGTTACAACATCGACTGACGACAACCGATAACGATTGGCGGTGTCTAGTCGGCGATGGTTGACGGTGGCAGGAGTAGTGTTAGACTTCAGTTTTTTTTTCAAAGTTTCAAGTTCTTTCTCAAGTCTCAAGCTCGTATCCCCTCTCATGAGAGAGTGAGACTCTATTTATAGAATTACGAGTGTAATTTAATACAAGATTATGAATTACTTTGATCGGACAGCTCAGAGAGCTTCCCTCGATCGGACGGTATTTGATGAACATTTGAGTGCCTTAATGAATTGTGTGATCTTGGGCTCGTTTGAGTCATCTTGTCAAGACATTTGATTTAACTATAGGCTCGTCGGAATCAGCATTCATTTCACCTTTTAAATGTGTCCCAAAAACTTATAAAAGCGGTTTAGTGGCTTAAGTCGGGCTTGATTTGGTTCGGATTAGGCCAATTTTGGCAACTTTGGGTTCTTCTTGTCGAACCGGTCAGTTTGACTATAACTTTGCTTAAATCGAAGTTCTAGATGAATTTTTATCAAGCTTTGAAAATTTCTTACGTACAAAATCGCCTCAAGATCCGTATCATGCCTCGAGATTCGTGTCATATGATGGAATTTTGTTGATAGTGTTGACTATAACTTTGCTTAAATCGAAGTTCTAGATGAATTTTTATCAAGCTTTGAGATTTCTTACGTACAAAGTCGCCTCAAGATCCGTATCATGCCTCGAGATTCATGTCATATGATGGAATTTTGTTGATAGTGCATCAATTATCCCCCTATTTTTACGTGATATCAATTTTATCGTCAGTTGTCTCCCTACTTTCGGGTGATATCAATTTCATCGTCTATAATTTGAAATTTTATAAAAGCAAAATAAGCATGTATTTAAAAAGAAAATCCTCTGCCAAGCATGAAAAGTAGTACTTTTATCAGACCACTATGAGTGTCAATGGGCGGGCTGCGAAAATGCAACTTCGTTCTGAAGTTTAAGTAGGTATCACATTGTGAACTTTGAGTTCAATGCAATCATCACGTCCAATGGCACACCAAAATTTCTAATAAATAATGTTCCTAAAAATTCCAATTTACACTACTTACAACTTATAAAGGTAATAATATCGGGAGAAAATTTTACAGATGTCTCATACATCACATCAAATCGAACATGATTTGGGTAACTTCTATGACGATTTCAAATAGATTGATTAAATGGACGATGTAACTTCTGAAAAGAATACAACGACAAAAAATATTTTGAGAACTTAGCTAAGAAAAATTATGAGGAATCAGCTAAGAGAAATGAATAATTAAAATTTCTGAATAAAATTTTGATAGCCTCCCATGTTTTAAATAATGCAGGTATTTTATTTGTATTTATGTATCGTATATTGTCAATATATTTAAAACTATGGATGTAAAAGTAACGTACTATCGTATCAATTGTAAAGGTTATGTTTTGGATTTAATGTAATGAAAATCTTGAGATATTTTATTGCTCATTCTCTATGTAATTTAATATGAGCTCATTTATTGGTTAGTTCCATTATAATATGTTATTTTATACTTGAGAATCACTTCCCCTCCTCTGATTCTCCTCTTGATTATTTCTTTCAATTATATGGCCTTGCTCCTCATTTATTACATATATTACTTAATCTATAGTCATTGTCCATAATTATGCTTATCACACAACTAATTTCTTAAAATGTGAATAATTATGTTCTGTAGAAGTTATGTCTTGAGCTCATTTTCATCCTGCCTGATATCACATAATAAAGTTAAAGAGTCTTGAGCTTATGAAAGATGAATCATTTAGAATAAATGTGTATTTGACAGGTTTCAAAAGTTTCAGTCTGAACAAAGTTGTTTGTTATAATTTTGTTTAATAGCATTTCATTTTGGAGATGGAAGCAAAAGCAATCCAACGCGGATCAGCACCCCATCCAGTTCTACCTCCTCATGACTCCTGATAGTTTCCAATGAACTACAGAATTTAACATAAAACAAACATCACAGTATGAAAGGGTGGCACTGAAAAGGTTACTCCTTTAATATCCTACTTTAACAATGGTTAAACCAAAAATTATGCTGCAGAATCAAAGCATACTGCAAAAAATATGACAGTGATAAAGAAGATTGGAAGATTTACATGCATACTAAGCTCTCATGTATTTACATTTCTAAAACCTAAACTTCAAATTTTACATCAAAAGGTGTATGTCTCTCTTAAGAAGTTGAAATAGCAGTATTTTTAATGTGATAGAAAAGTTTTTGCATTGTATTTGATGCGTGCTGGAAAATCCGCGGCGATAGAGTAACGGATTATCGTCTTAGCGTTGTACGAGACTTCAGCACACACATATATGAAAGAGAAACAAGCAGTGATGACACCATAAGTTTTTACATGGAAAACCCAGAAAGGGAAAAAACACGGGGTCTGGCCCCAAAGATTTTTACAAGAAAAACCCGTAAAGGGAAAACCCACGGAGACTAGCCCAATTGCGAAAATTCACTATTGATTGATGATTTCAGAGACCAATTGCGAAAATTCAATGGGGTCTGGCCCAATTGCAAAAATTCACTATTGATTGATGATTTCAGAGACCCGTTGTCCCACAGACGGGAAATGGTTACTAGTTTTTCAAGTTATAACGTCGACTGACGACGTCTAATCAGCGACGGTCAGCGGTAATCGACTGTAGTCAACGACAATTGATGACGGTCGGTGGTGGTCGACGGAGGTCAGCGATGGTCAACGGTAGTCAATGACGATCGATGGAGGTCAGCGGCGATCGACGGTGGTCGACGATTGTCGGCAGTGGTCGACGGCGGTCAGTGGTGGTCGATGGCAGTCGGTGGTGGTCGACGGAGGTCGGTGGCGATCGACGGAGGTCAGCGGTGATCAACGGTAGTCGATGACGTTCGACGGAGGTCAGCGGTGATCGTCGGTGGTCAACGATAGTCGGCGGCGGTCGACAGAGGTCAGCGTTGGTTGACGACGGTCATCGTTGGTTGACGACGGTCGGTGGTGATCGACGATGGTCGACGATGGCCGGCAGTGATCCCTGACGGTCGATGGTAGGGATGATGTTGGACTTGAGATCTTTCTCAAAGCCTTAAGTTCTCTCTCAAGTCTCCTTTTTCATATGAGGGTGAGGCTTTATTTATAGTGTTTTGGGTGCAATTAATGCAGGAATATAAACCAATTTGATCAGACGGTCCGGAGAGCTTCCCTCAATCATATGACGTTCGATGGACATTTGAGTGCCTTAATGATGTCGGAATTGAGCAATCTTGGGCTTGTTGGAATTTTCTTGTCGAGATGCTTGATTCAACTATGAACTCGCTCGATTCGACATTCGTTTGACCTTTCAAATGCCTTTAGAAATCCTTCAAGGATAGTTTAATGATTTGATCCGGGCTTTATCTGACTTGGATTAGACTAGTTTTTATATCATTGGGCGAAAAAGTACACTTCACTTTTGAAAAGTAAAAAGGTGATAATTTTATTGATATGAAAGATTTAGTTGGTATTACTGTAAAAAAGTAAAGTTTAGGTGTTAAATATGTAAATACTAACTTTCAAGTGAAATTCACTTTCATTCAAAGTTTAAGATACCAAGTGTTATAAATATAAAAATCAAAGTTTAGGTATGAGACATGTAAATATATAGGAATTGCCCCAACAAGATATTTTTGTATTTAAGGTAAGGAACTTGTTAAAATTTATTTACAATAGCAGTCTTTATCTCAAAGAATGGTTTTTCCACAATTACCTGATTGATGTAGCTAAGTTTTGAAACTCCTGCAACCAAACGAGCAGCATCCTCTCCAAACTCATCTTCTAAAGTAAATTTCTTCATGTCATCAACATAGAGAATTTCAGGACCACCAAGATAAAACTTAAGGATACCTACAGAACATCTCAGATTGTTTGTAGCCTAATTCTAAATATGTTAAATCCTTTTAAATCAAAATCAAGAGGAAAGTGCAACCCTTTTTCCACTTGCCGGGACAAGAGCAACTAAAATTCTTCCTGTATGGATGCAGTGAGTAACATAAGACTCTCCAGTCTCCCTAAACTGGTCATAATGAGCCATTCTTGCAAATGCAATAGCCTTTTGCACCTAATATCAAAGACTATCTTATGCACAGGAAACTAGTAACAGCTGAAAGCAACTAAAGATGCAAAAATAAAAAAATTAAAAACTAACTTACCATTGTATCTTTTAAATTAAGATAAAGACACTAGAATGGCAAAAATAGAGAATTTCAAAATACAAAAAAATCTTTGCAATCAAAAAATAAAAAATTCTTAACCCTCAAAACACATAATTTTTTTTCCACTCAAAATTTGATCCAAAAGAGCTAGGTGTCCAAAACTTCCATTCGAATTGGCAATTTTGCCCAGAAAACGTAGTTTCTTGCTGTGGGTTCGGACAATATGCAGTCACTTTTAACATGTAAAATTTGCAATGTCTGTAGACCTAAAGAATTTTTTAATGTGATTCTGTAATGCCCCCAAAGTTCACAATGGCTGCATTTATGGACATTTGTTTGTCTTCTAATATTATTCTCTAAGAATTTCTTTATTTTTTTTTTTTTTTTTTGGACTTCCTCTTGGTCTCAATATATTTAGCACACCAACATGTATGCCCTCGTCGACTTTTCTCCATTGATCCTTTCCTAGGAACGTTAAGATGGGACCTTCATAGGCCATCTTGTACCTACCAGTAAAAAATAAAAAATTACAGATATAAATATTAGCAAACATAAGAACAGTGACTCTAAACCTAATAACATGATAACTATAGTGAACACAGTTGTGCCACAGGGGATGCTCCTTGAACCCGATAAATGTTGTTGCATGGTAAACAAGTTACTTGCCAAACTCTACGAGTGCATGTTTTAAGTTCTATATCAACTTCATGTCTAACATTCCTTCCTTCAACCTCAGCTTGATGTGCTGTAGATTCCCTTACTAGGAACTGTTCTTTCCTTGTGGTTATCTTTCTAATATAGTCTTCAGCAAAGAGAACTAATTCCCCTTTCGAAGCAGTCACATCTCTACTCCTGTAAACTCTTTGTTGCAGCATTCATGTCAATCAAATCAACGATTGGCATATTTCAGGCTTCTCCAATCCAAGAATTAAATGATTCAGACATGTTATTTGTGTTGGAGTGATGTTTTATTTCAACAATAAGACCACATTTATGTCATGTACAAGGCAATGCAAGTAAGAGCACATTTGTAGAGAGACAAAACAAAATTCAACCATTTTATTATGAAACTCAGGATGAGTGTGCGCATTAGCTAATAACCATACAAGCTACTCTCCCTAGATCACTCTGCCCAACATCTACTGAATGTTTTAAGATAACCAAAGGAATTAAGGTATTTCTGCCCTAACAGAACAAGAACACGAAGAACTGCTCATCTGAAGATAGAACGTAGCAGAAAAATGGTTCCTCGAAGAGAATCATACCCACTGTTCGGACGACTGGGAGTGAAGGGCATATCAGAAACACGAAGTAATTTTGAATACCTTGAGATGAAGCGATCGAGAAGAAGGAAGGCTTCGGGTGCTCGAGCGGTAGAATGGGCAACTCTAACGGAGGAAGAAGTAGACTAGGGTTAGCAGCTTCCCAGCCATCGAGAAGAATGAAGGCTTCTGGTGCGTGCGAAGACCAGAAATCTCTCGCGGTGAGCTGGTGCGGGTTTTTTAATGAGTTTGCAAAAATCTTGTAGCCAAAAATATATAGAGGGTACACATTGTGTGATTAACAAAGACTTCTGTTGATCTAATTAGGGCGAAAAAAAAATAATAATCAACACAAATTTATAAGAACACAGAATTTTAACGAGGTTCGGCAAAGATGCCTACGTTTTCGGGCACTATTCAGAAAAGAGGTTACAAAATTCAGGGATTCCTCCTAGGGTTACTAACAGACCTATTTATAATCTCAAGAGTAAAACTTAGGCACAACATGTAATTACAACATTTCCCTTGTACCATACCGCGAGGCTTTGCCCCCGCACCCCAACCCACGTAACTACCCAATTTGGACAGACCGCCCCGCTTCGATCTAGCGTCTGTCCCTATATGATATATGAGTCATACCATAACAACTTCCTAATATATAAATATTTGTTTTTGTATTAGAGCTAATTGCCGAATGCCTCTATGCTAGGGCTGTCAAAAAAGCTCGTTGTTCGCGATCAGTTCGTGTTTGGTTCGTCAATAAGTTCGTATTCGATTCATTCTATAGGTAAACGAGACGAATGTGACAAACTTTTTTCGTTCAATTAGTATAATATATAATAAATTAATAATAATAATATATTAATATACTATATTAGTAATATACTAATATAGATATTATATATTTATATAATATAAGTTATATAATTAATATAATATATTATTTATTTATATTAATATTAGGGATGTCAAACTGGCTCGTCGTTCGCGAACAGCTAGTGTTCAGCTCGTTCGTTAAGAAACGAACACCAACAGTAACTTCACAAACAATTTCAAACACAAACTTATTTCAAACAAACTAAATTTCAAACTAACCAAACACGAACACAAGTTTTGTTCGTTCGTGTTCGGTTCATTTACACCCCTACTTGCTAGTTACAATTTGCCTCTAGAAAAAAAAATTGTGCATTTGATGACTTTTAACTTAATTGCTCATGACTGACTATACTTGCATTGGATTTTGAGCTTGGCTTTGAAAGTGATTTTGTTATGACTTGAGTGATTAGTAGGTTGGTTCTTTTGATCAGCCTGTTAGCCTTGAACACTACTTATTAAATAGTTAATCAGGCTCATATTGGATGAAAAAAAAGTATTTGAATATACAATTTGTTCTCTAATTTTCTTATATCTTTGAAAATATCTTTAAAAAGAAAAAATAATAAATAAATTTATTATCCTAATGAGCTATTATATTGAGAATGATATTGATTTATTGTATTGATAATGATGTTAATTTTACCAGTCTCATACATGAACATCATGGTAAGTATAAAAATGTGATCATAGAGCTGCACTTTTAAGGTTTCACTATTTTATCATCTTCACATCTGCCTTATTCTATAACTTACTCTTCTTTTACATTGAGATGGTTCAACTTCATGAACAAAGGCTAATGATTATTCTAACATTTTTTTTTTATGAAAAAGTATTATTAAGAGAAAAGAAAATGAAAAAAATTGAGCAACAAATTAATGAAGAAGAAAATTTTCTTTTCAAGAAGTTATATGTAACGTAAGAAAAATAAAATGAAGTTAGGTGTGGTTAGTAAGATGGTAGATGATCCTAGCACTCTTACTAATCAAACAACCCCTCTTTAAGATGGCCCTGATAATGCCCTAGCAAATGAATGTAAAGATGAGTTGATGATCCCTCAGAAAAAATCAACAACTGATCTAACGACTTCATAACGGGGGAGGGGGGGGGATTTGAAGTTTTCTATTTAGATGATGGGGACTTTTTTGAAGTTTTCTATTTAGATGATCAGACATGAAATTTTAAAGAATAACATATCTTTCGAAAGGAAGAAATGACATGTTTTTGAGCCTACAATAACTTGTCCCTGGTCATTCAAGCCCTCCTGCCTAACATAGAGGTAGGAGAAACGTAAGAAAGACCTGGAACAAAAGAGATTGGGATAACAGTTGAACCAACTGAAGGTTCAACTATAAGAGAAACTATGGTACCCATAGAGCTAACAGATAGTGCACCAACCGTGAGAGTAGACAATCTAGAAATTATGAAAGGATCCTCAGCTAGCCTAGTGAAAACTAAAGGATGCTACAATGCATCATCATATAATACTAGCCTCTTCAATGACGAAGGGGTAGTACTGATACGAGCAACCACAACAGAAGAAGTATCATATGCATGAATCCCATTCTTCTCAGGAAGAAGCATGATAGAAACCTTAGCAGGTGTAGGATTACTAAGGGTAATCTTAATAGGATGCTCGAATGAGCCAAAGGTGATGGTCCCTTCTTCCACTTGAAAAACTATGTGAAATTGAAAATGTGTTCCCCTATAAGAAAATGAAAATGTGTTCCCATTAGAAGAGTCAATAGTAATCATTCTTTAAGTATCCATATATGTCAATCAGAAAAGATTGTCATCAAGAAATCTATTTTGATTACTGTTTATTGATTATCGGTTTTATATAAAATCTGGGTATTTTTCGCAAGCTTCTTAGTTTATAGTGTTTTCCTTGTTTATGCTTATACCTTTTGTTAGAAAAAAAGAGTAAAACGCTTGGGGGATGTAGATAGCATAAGTCCATCAAACGAAATCAGTAAAATAAGCTCATAGAGGGTTAAAAAGTTCATCAAGGGAGGGAGCAGAGAGGGAGAAGGGGGGGGGGAGAGAGAGAGAGAGAGAGAGAGAGACCAAGCGAGGTTGTTAGATTTATTTTGGTTCTTTTTAACTCGGAATAGCCATATTGTCTACTTTTCACTTTATAATTCTTTTTTTTTCTAAATAACTTCCATTCTTGGATCACTAAAATGATTTGAAGAAAAAAAGAGAAACTAGAAAGGAAGAAAATACAACAAAACTAGACAAACAAAAGAAAAAAAGTTGAAAATTTTTATAACATAGTCTTCGTGAGATAGCTCAAAAGTATATACCAAAAACCAAATCAGATTAACACTTTGAAAGCATTGCAGTGTAGACTTATAATTATGGGGTAATTTTTTTAGAGATTTATCAGCCTTAGACTCAGACTCCTCTATTCTATGCTTTTCCACTCTAGACTCCTTAATCACCTTTCCACCTTTGTGTTTTATGCCATTGCAGTGCTCCACATTTTGGTCTTTGGATTCACCCTTTATTGTTATGTAATGTCGCTTTGGGTCTTTGGCTCAATGAGTTTGTTATTCGACCAAGTTTTATTTTGATTTTCCTTCTAACTGTAGCATAAATTTGTTTTAGTTCTCCGTGTCTAAAACCATTTCTTCCAAAGATAGTTTATTTTTTCTAGATTAGGGATTAGAATGAATCCAAGAGGTTAGGTAAGTCTTGGGTTGCAACTACCCGGGTTATTCCAATTACCTTCAGTGTTAGATTGGTTATTACTCAATTGTTAGTTTTATACCTCTTAGTTATTATTATTCCAGTTAAAATTTGAGAGGTTCTTTTAGTTTGGGTTGTATGTGTGTTAGAATACAAGTTATTAGGTCTATTGGTTATAACATTGAGAGATTCAACAGAAGCACTATAAAGATCCACTAGTTGTTTATAGGCATTCTCTTCTATATGTAGTTATCCTATTGTAGAATTTAGGGCTAAATTATCTAATTTCCTAGATAATGCAGTTACTTATGAAGTTATGATCGCTAACACATATGAGTTGTGCAAACTAGCTACCTTCTTAGGATAGACTCTATCTAAAGGCCATTAAAAATTATTAGCAATAATCTTCTCGATCAATGAATATACCTTCTCAAATGACTTTGAAACGAGTGAACCTCTTACTGTAGCATATATTATTATTCTCAATGAACCCGTCGACCCATTATAAAAAGACTGAATTATAAGTCAAGCATGATGGGTATATTTCCTAAGTAGCTCCATAGATCTCTCCCAAACTTTATAAATTGATTCTCCATCTAATTTGGTAAATATGGTAATATCATTCCAAGTTCTGTCATTTCGGATGAAGGGAAGTATTTGGCTATGAATTTTCGGGCTAAATCATTCATTATAGCAATTGATCATGGGGTTAACGAGTTGAGTCACATTTTGGCCTTATCCCAAAGTGAAAAAGGAAAAGATTTAGACTAATGACATCATTAAAAATACCATTATACATAAATGTGGCATATATTTCTAGAAAACAGACTAAGTGGAGGTTGGGGTATTATGTGGGTGAACCACCAAATAAATTATGTTGTACAATCAGAATGATAGGTGGTTTCAGTTCAAATGAGGCTTCTTTTCCAGTAAGGTAATTAATACTAAAAAAAAAATCTTCTAACAAATGATTGACATACTCCCTAAGAGGTTTGTGGTGTTCTTTCTGAGGTGGGTTTATCATTCCTTCTTAATTCTTTTTTAGTATTTTAAAATTTCTAATTTTTTTTTATGGTCCTCTCAAGTTTAGGGTCATACTATACTAATTCAACTAGTCAGTCCTATGTATATAAGACTATAACTAGCAAGTGAGAGATCCTAAACTAGTAAGAAGCACAATACAAGGGTAAAATTCACTGAAAACGAAGTAAAATTGAAGAATATGTAAAAAATGAAAAAGAAAACAATAATAGAATGATTATGTTTTTTTAACATAGAAAATAACAAATAAAATACAAGAAATAAAATAACACGGTTATTTTTAAGTATAAACCCTAATGATGTATCTAAAATCTTACCAAATGGTGCAAAATAGTTGATATGTATGAAATGTTGTGAAGCACCAACAACTAAACAAGTATACATGTCCATCAAGAAGTATAAGATTTGAGTTCGTGTATCGATCCCACAAGAAACTTATTTTATTTCCAAATTAGGAAAATTTTGACTAGTATACTTTTGTAGTACTAGATCACAACCCATTTTAACAACATAAGTGGCTAGTTTATGAGTATATCATAAGGTTAAACTATCAACTTATAGATAAACAAAAAACAATCATAATATAAAATTTCATCAATTTGTATAGAATCCAATTTAACAGAGA